TTCAATTTCAAGCCGCATTTGATCACAGAGAAAACAGAATAGAAGAGGTTGGAGATAAAGTAAGAAAATTGGAAGAAAAATTAGATGCGTTTGAAAATAAAACTAAAAAGAAAAATGTGGTTATTAGTGGTTTGAAAGTAGCCAGTAATGATGAATGTGAAAGAGAAGTTGAGAAATTCAGTTATGAAACATTAAATATTCCTGGTAAGGTGGAGATTGAGTCTGCATATTTGGTTAATAATAAAAAAAAAAGTATTATTGTTGAATTGGTACATCCTCAAGACAAAAACAAATTAACTTCAGCAGCCAGGCAGCTTAAAAACAAAGACATCTACATAAGCAGATTCTTATAAAGTTAGACACGGAAGAAATTAATCCCTTTTATGGTTCAAGCAAGAGAACGTGGAAAACGCGCAAGCCTAAAGTTCGATAAACTGTTAATAGATGGTCAGGTGCATACATTGGATTCCTTGGTGCCAGAGGGAGCAGAGTGATGCAACGAAGGGAAAGTTACCAGGCATGATTGCCACTGCCGAAGGGTACAACGCAAACAACCCAAAAATGTTTGACTGATTTGAAATTTTGTATAAGGAACGTGAATGGGTTGAGAAAGAACCTTGACAATGTCGATTTTGTGTTATATCTTAAAACATTTGATATTGTATGCCTTAGTGAAATATTTTATGTAACAGGGTCTTCTATTCAAACCAAATTTCCAGACTTCTCGACATTCATTTGTATCCGTGGTAATGGAAAGGAACGAGGTGGTGTTGTGGTTCTTGTCAGGCATCACTTGACCAAGGGAATTGAGAGAATTGACAAGAACTTTACAGAATTAATATGTTTAAAACTTAATGGTGTATTTTTTGGTTGGGAACATGACATTGTGTGCATTTTTTCGTATGTAGCTCCAGAAGGCTCCAAAATTCATGGAGAGGAATGTGGCATTGGTAAACTTGAAGGTATCTCAAACATTTCCGTTTCACTCAATATTTTCTGTTTTCTTTTGTAGGAATATCAAACTAGCTAAAGAATTTGAAAAATTAGTTTTAGAAGATAAAAGATTCGAAATCTCATTTGATGTTATAATGGCGCTAGTTTGTTTTAGGTTAAAGGTAGGTAACATCAAGAGAGAATCATCCGACTTTTCTAAAATCTTCAGGAATTAACTACGGGCTTGGGAACCATGCGGGAGCCACGGAAGCTCAGTGGGGTAGACGCTTGCTCGCCAACCCGATGGTGCAGGGTTCCAGTCCCTCCCCCCCCACCCCCCCTCCCTCTATGTCAGTTATGCAGGTTGGAAGGACTGACATGGAAAAAATGTCTGTTGTTCGGATGCTACAATAAACTTTGGCTTGGTATGCTACAACCTGTGCACGTTGAAGATCCGTCAACAGTCGAAAAAGAGTAGGGTTGTACCGTTGTAATAGAAAAATTGTTTAACTCCATCCATTTCATTTCAATTTTGGAAACGTTGTCCTATTAGCTATTTCGTCTTAGCTATAAGACTTTTTAAGTCGACGTTTATAAGAAGGTTATAGTATTTCCACAAAAACTTCAAACAACAATTCAAAACTACGTTCGTGTGTATTATTTCCATGTAAGAAGCATGCTGAGGAAGCGAGACGGGATGCCCACACCTGATATCATTGCGAGAATGGTTTTGTCAACTCCATGAGCTAATTTCCCCCATCATTATATTTTTCAGGGCACAAACGAAATCAATGAAAAACTATTAAAATTAATCAGCGAGGATGGAAGAATCCATATTGTGCCATCGAACTTCAAGGAAAAGTATTACTTACGTTTTGCCGTTTGTGCTACGTCCACTACGTCAGAGCACGTTCAGTTTGCCTGGAAAGTGATCACAGAAATGACTGATAAACTCAAAGTATAACAAAAAAAATTCTTAAAAAAAATTCTTTCTTAGTGGAAATTGTAGAATTGTTGTGAGATAATGGATACATTCGGCTTAATATTTGCTTTACAAACTGATCAAGGACGTATCACTATCATTTTATAAATTGAAAATCTGTAATATAGTTCGTCAACAATTAAATGGAAATTAATCTGCGGAATTGACGACAACTCAACAATCTCCCATTCAGACATTAACATTGACGTCATAATATCAATAATTCATTGGGGGTCACGGATATTTAGCTAGACGTAAATCACGTCACTTCCGTCGATATTTGCTTAAGCATAGGCGAAAGACGTGTATGATTTTCCTTCTGAACATGGATATGGTTGTTCGCTAATAATTTGGAAAATCCCTTATAATGACTAGGCAAATGCTTGGAATAAATGATAATACCCTTTGAGGAAATTTGTTTTCTTGGTGGGTGAAAACGGTATTTTGAAAGTGGTACGTAAGGACGGTTTTATCTATCTTTCCCAACAACACTCATGTTTACCATTTTAATGTTATTTATATCATATTTTGCTCGTTGTAAATAAAAACTTATAACCACATGCTTATTGTGATGTGTCTTAGGCCATTTCTTTCATCAAGTCCACATGAGGGCAGCTGGTTTGGAAGCAGTGGTGACTCCATAGGATCAAAATAATATTTTTTGGTGCAAATATACATTTTTTATTTGTAAAAATGTTATATAATTGGAAGAATATACTTCCTAATTTCATAAAATGCAGGATTTGATTTTTCAAAAACTGTTACCCCATGATCCCCTCTAAAACGGATTCGAAAAATAAACATAGATTCCAATAAACTTGGACATTACCCAATAACTGGAATATACGCCAAATTTCAATTCCTATTGACTATCTCTCTTTACGACGTTGAAGAGAGCCTTAACTTGTTCAATGAATAGTTTCTTAGTGCAGCACTCCTGTTTGCGTTCGAGTGCTGTAATAAAATTCCAGAAAGGATATCACTGTCAATATTTGGCTTGATAGACTTTTGCCTTCTAATCTGTTCGGGGACCTTTGACATGGGGTGGTAGACTTGTCGCTTATTGACTCAATGAGATATGCTCCTGTCGAATTGATTTAGGTCAAGAGCCTTCATACTTTTGAATGTTCCCCCAGTAGACTTGTCTCTTCTCGTTCTGTGAATTCGCTTGCTTTGGAAAGTTGACCCCATGTCAATAAACTCAGTGTTCAATTTGAATTTCGCATCCAAAATACGTGTCAGGGTGAGTTCTTGGGCATAGCCCCGGTGGGGCTACAGGACTTTTTTTCTAACGTTTTTTCCTCAAAATATGTGTCAGAATGCACGGAATCCATTACTATTGTATTCGGGGAGCCCTTCCACACACTCCTTAGGAGGCTTGCATCTACGGCGCTTCCACAGAGATACCGCATTTTGAATCTCAACCTTGACAGTTACGTTTCCCCTTGTCAGTGATGTAGGTAAGAGGGGCTGACATGGAAAAAGCGTCTTGTCGTTCGTATAGGACAATAAACCGAGGCCCCGTGTGCTACAGGCTGTGCAACGTTAAAGATCCCTCGACAGTTGGAAATCGAAAAAGAGCAGGCTAATGCCGCTGTCTTGGCAAAATTTCCCTCATCGCACCCTGCATGGCGTTGCCCGTCTTCATTAGCCCACATGGTGCAGAAAAGTAGGACGTAAAACTCCATTCATTTCATTTCATTTACCAAGTCAGCACACGAGCAACATCTCGTTTTGGATTCTCGCACGTGCAGACATGCCAGCCACCGCCATTTTATTAAATACATCAGCAAAATTACATCAAAAAGACATTGTAGAAGTGATTAAAGTAAGGCGAAAAGGCACAAAAGAACAATACCGGTTCGATACCGAGATTCCTATTACAAGTTTGACGGAGGATGAGATAGTGAAAAATTTTGATAAACGACACGTTTTGTGTTGATTTGGCGATGGCGGCAATTTTCGTAAGTTTAAATTTGGTTTAGGGATACTTGTATCAAGCCTATTGTTTTTTTTTGGGTTTTTTTTATCTCCCGAGCAAGACATATTTTTAGTTATTTATCATTCTGCTATATGAAAACGGGATGATTTTCAATGGGCTATCCAGTTTAATTTTAAATAAAATGCGTTTAGAAGTGAAAGATTAGGTGAGTCTACACTTTAAATCAGTGTCCATAATTTAGTCAGAGTGAGGTGATTATTGTTTATTAGAATACACTATAAATTACACTTTAGGCGCTATTGAGTATGATATTGATTAAGCTATAGTAATGATACTAATTGTTTCTGGTTGAACTTATATAATAGAGATAATTTATAAAAATAACATTTACTGAAACATTTAGTTTTTCAGTTTTCCGTGATTTAGTTAATTGTATTGAAGGATAGTCTATTTAAAATGGTCATGCTATAGTCCGCCAGTAGTAGTAAAGGAATAGTCGGTTGAAAGTGGTCAGGGGTACTCAATATGGAGTGGTCATAGTAAAGCGAGTTTGAAATGATAAGAATTGGTCAAACTCAAGTGAACAAGAGTCTCGTCAGTATGTAGTAGAAAAAAGTGTTAGATAGGTATTTTCAAAAAGTAGTAAATCTGAATTTTCAAAAAGTTGTAAATTTGAATTTAAAAAAAAATAGTAAATCTGAATTATCAAAAAGTGTTAAATCTGAATAGAAAAAAAAATATCAAATCTGAATTGGCAATATGTATTAAATCTGAATTTGCTATTAGTGTTAAATTTGAATTGGCAAGAAGTAAT